TAAGTCAAGATTTCACAACTTTTTATTAGAGGTATTTCCACAAAAAGTCTATGTTTTTGTTAGTCGTAGCCAATGAAAATGGCTCTGTGAGGCATCACTTTTCAAAAGTCTTTTAAAATATGTTAATTTATCCTATTTCACACATTTTTCTGTAACCCAATTATAAAGTGATAAATGAATCAATGTTTACATCTGCCATCATATTATTATATTTTTATATTTAAGTAATTTGAATGATGAAGATTTTCCAACTTAATTGATAATGCCATTTCTGCCAAGCATACAACGCATAAAAATACATTTTCGAATTAGACTCTGATAACTTGCCCTGAGAGAGTATCTTCAGCATATCTAAGAGGCTATAAACTGTTCTGGTGTGAAGATGGCTCTTAAGCAAATTGAGGCAAGTCAGGAGTTTTTTAATGAACCATTTAGGGAGCCTATTTTGACTTATAGGCTGACACGTTTTTACGAAAGAACGTATACTTTAGCGGTGATTTTGGTTGCATGCAAAGGCATGGTCGGAAATCAAATTAAATCCTGCCTAACCCGCTGTGAATCTATTTGGTGAATTCATCTGCCGACTTCTGAACACAATTGTTCTAATGTTGTTTGACTTAAGATTGACGCTCTATGCGTGGAGGACGTAGGGAACTATCCCGAAGCTTGGAGTAGTCGGGTCGAGTTGATGCACAGCAGACGAAAGGAATTGCCCATTCGCTATTTGATGGGTACGAAGTTGTGATTGCTAATGAGCCGCGAGGAGACGAGGAGATGAGAACACTTGATCCGATTGGATGGATGGCATGCCTTCACGAGGTTGAGGAACTGCTGCAGCAGCGCTCGGAGCTCGGCTTTGACGCAGTGGACAGCTCAAGTTCCTCTTTTTTCCGAATTGTTCAACGCATGAGTGACCAAACAGATGAGGCTGGTCTTGAGGTGCAGGAGGCCGGTGTGGCCTCGAGAGTGGTAAAGTCAGCAGCTTCAAGCCCCACCAGTTAGTCGAATAGTTGTTCAGTCGTGCGTGTGTCTACACTTTTTGTCACTTCACTTTGTCAGACATTTTCCCTTCCTTTTCACCCACTGGTCCAGTTAATTGCCTGCTCGTCCCCGGTCGCAGCGATAGAATGTCCGATGGAGTCGATTATGACCGCTCGTCGGTACTCATGCGAACAGACTCAAGCCAAAGCAGCCAGCGAAAGTGTACTCACCGACGTACATATCGCAAACACACACGTCTCCTTCAAGTGGTGGCGAGACATACAAAAGTGGACGTGGATGGATGGAAGTGGGGAGGGAGACAAATGACGAACCCAGAGTTGACATGATTTTGTCTGACGATGTGCTCCCACACGTTTTTTGCTTCAATAACGAGAACTTGTGAAGTTAATTGAGGTAACTCACCATCGCGACAGCCACCTTATTCGCTGTAATACCAAAGCGACTTGTAACATAAAGGCATGCACATCGAACTGTGCAGTCAATATGTGGGTCACTAAGGCTGTAGGGCCTGTCCACGAGCGCGACCATCTTTTTTACGCTTATATGCAAATATGCACTGTATAAGCGAGTATGTGTGTTTGTGTGTCTGTGTGTGTGTGTGTGTGGGTGTGTGTATATGATAAGAATGGGGTACCAATTATCCCATGGCCTCGTTTGTCGCGTGAGCGCTGCTTGGACAGGCCGTCCAACTTGCGGACTCGCCGCGTCCCGGCCCCGCCTCCTCGGCCTGACCCTGGGATGGGAGCTTGACAGTTTGAGGTCATTCGCTGACCGTTTGGCCAGAAGGCATTAGAGCGAGGTGTGACTGTGCGAAGAGGGATTGGGACGTGATTAGGTTGCGTATGTCTGGCCTGACGGAGGCGAAAACCGGCGACCTGTTCACGAAGTGGTTTGACCTCGTACGCCCAGCTTCGTCACGTTGTCAGGGCGATCTCGACGGCGTAGCCAACATGCTAATCTGGATTTTAAGACCAATATATGGTGTGGTCTGTATTTTGGTCGGAGACCCCTTTCGCCGGATAGAAGCACCGTGAGCATAGTGTATTACCAGACATTTTGCCGGCATCCTCAATGACCATCAAGCTACAATTCATTCGTAAATATACCAAGTCAACTGTCCATGTTAGAAGTTGTCATGACAACTATGGCAGAGTTTGTCTAGGTTGACCCGACAACACCAAACTACAGGGTCCTTGTGACGGTGAACTGAATCGTGAGGACCAATACCTACAGACACGTTTAGACGCAGTCGAATTTTGTCGATTCGGTCGCAGACTCGAGGTTTGCAGACCGTCCCTTCGGGGTCTCGGAATACGGCCCAATAGCTCCATTTGCCTGTGTGGCCATCGCATGCCTTCATTAGAAGGTGACTTGGGACAAAGTTGGTCTCATCTTCGAGGTTGGGTGAATCGGCAATTCAACGGCAGTAGCGACTGGAACGTTTGTGTGGAATGGCGACAGGATAACTCTCCACCATACGTCCGCGGGGGACAGTAGGTTACAGGGAACATTGTAAATACGATCCGGTATTAAGTTCCTATAAAGTCCCCGTGAAATTACCAGATGAAGAGACTTGTAGATTTATTTATTTATATAAAGGTTTTCGCACAATTCAACAGTTTTCTCAAGATCATATTGGCATACATTTCATTTCGTCCTGTGACGGACATCGTCAGAGCCAGAAAGCATTATTCACGAAAAATCACCAAAAAACACTAAACCAGCTGAGATCCTACTTACTTCGTATACCTCACTTTGCGATCTTAATGAGGCATTCTATGATTTGGTTGTCCGACGTATGCTTGTCCTACATGCGGTCACCATTTTTGTCATTGTAAATAAACTAAAGTATGATTCGTGCGTCATTGCGTGTGCATGAAACAACTCCGAGTTGGTTGACAAATTTAGGTTGAAAAACAGACTCCAGCTTAGTCTAGTCGTCTTTCTGTTCCCTTTCATTCTCTCTCTCTCTCTCTCTCTCTCTATCTCTCATTCTATTTAGACGCCAGAGATAGTTCTTTCTTAGTTTCCTACATCCATTCCTCTTATTCAGGATGTTCATAGTTTTTTATTTTCAATCGAATCCCTGATCTTCCGCTTAGTTGTGAAGTCCCATATCCGGCAAAACGTTGTGATTTAGACTACTCTATCTGGCGTCCTGTAGCGACCACATGTTCAGCCACTTCCGATTTCTGAATCCATTAACATTTGCAGGCGGTTTTGTGTTCTGATAGCCTCTTACGTATGGGTCGACAGGTCTCCCCCACATAAACACTACCACATGAGCACAAAGCCTCATAACAACCTGATTTGCAGAGGGCATCGTAAGCTTTTCTAAAAGGCGGCATGACCGAGAAAAGCGTTATTGTTTCTTTATACCTCGTCTTGACATTCCATTTCCTCAATAATTCGCCTATCTTTCGTGAAGTCTTGCAGCATTAGCAACTTGGCCGAAGAGTTGTATAATTTCTTGTTTTGGCCGAAATAATAACTTTCCCTCACCCTATTTCTCGATATTCTGAAATGGTTAACAATTAATCCTACAGGATAATTGTTCTCAGCTATGATTTTTCTTAGCCTTTCTAACTCCTGTCCTCGATTATTTACGTTCGCCAGGCGTAAACCCCTTAGTACCATTGATTTCATTACGCCTACCTTAACACCATAAGTATGGTTCGAGGAGAAATTGAGAAGGAAACCAACATTTGTGGCTTTCCCATATGCATCTCTACCCAGTTTGTTCCCTTATTTACTCACTAGAACATCTAAAAAGGGTAACTTATTTTCTTTTTCTAACTCTACTCTATTCATTAAACCAATGAAGTCATTCGAACACTCTTTGCCATTTAATTATTAACTGAAACTGGAGACAAACACAATCACATAGTTAACCCTCTTGTTTGTTTGTGTAATTTACCATTAAACATAAAATACGTACTATTCATTATTTAGCATTTCAATCGCATGATTGACTCCTTGCTCATCTTATTCCCTGATATTATCTCTTGGTGTAGATCTAAGGTTAATCTTAATGCCTGTATGGCCCCACTTATCGGTACATTCGTGTACATCGATACTACATCAAAACTTACTAGCAAATCTTCTTGTTCTATTGTGTGTTTCAACGGTATTGTATGCTCTACTAATTCCAACTTCATGTCTTAAATCACCTTTAGAAGCCTAGCATGATAAAAGTTTTAAAGTGTTTTGAACTCGTTTTCGCATCTTGGCCATGTTGTCAGGGCGACCCAGATAAACGCACCATGTATGTTGTACTTTGTCACAGTAGTCATGACGCTTTCCAGTGTCTTTTAGGAATTTTAGCCAACTGTACCAAATCCACAGTCTGATGTTAGGACTTATCATAGCTACTATAGCAGAATATTTTTGACAAAGTCAGTTAATTTGGGTCACCTTGACAATACGAGCAATATTCGAGAACAATGGAAAAGCGCTTCTGTACAGCGCAAGGAAATTGTGATCAAAATGGAGGCGTTTAAATCTAGAACAAAAGTTTTTATCCGGAAACATGCTCTCATTGAGTGCACCGTTCGGGTGCGACGACCTGGGACTAAGACTGCCTATGGGCCAATTCTCGGTACCGACGGTCACAGGCTCTGGTGATCATTCAGAGAATGCGATGACCGACAGAGAAAGGCTTTTGGTGGACTCTGAAGGATACCTCAGGCTGCAGTTGCTGCCAGTCCTATCGGACAAGCACAAACGGGGGTGATGGTTTGAGCAACAATTCGCCCACTGACAACCTCCCTCTCGGTCTCGAGGGTACTTGATCTCTCCACCCTTTCAACAGAAACAGCCCATCTTGTGTGAATGAGCCGAGGCTGTCAAAGTGACTGGTGTACACTTTTGCCAGTGCCTCTTTTGTGAGGCCCCACGAATGAGCCAGATTTAGTTGCCCAGTTTTGTTGTCTTTCCATCGGACGAATGGATGAAGTGAGAATGAATAAGTCTACTGGAATAACAGGCCAATTCACACAGAGGCTGGCATACAGTCTCATGCATTTCTGCAATTATGTTCACCCTTATGTGTAGTTTTCTTCCGACAATGTAGCCGTGCTTTTATAGGCTGATTCTTACAATTCGAAGTCATTTGTCATCAGGTGAGTCCTTATTTCAATCGCTTAAGCACAGCCAGCAAAATAC